GGGGGGGGGGGCGGAGGGAGAGGAGGAGGGAACATGGCGCGCGCATGCGGCACACCCACGTTCCCTGTCCGCCGCCACCTTTGCCTCGGTCCGAGAGAGAGGCACGCCGGGCCAGAAAGGAACACGCATGCCGGAGTGGTAGGTATTACACAACACACCGGCGCGCGCACCTCCTCGGGCATGGACGGGATTAAAACTGAAAATCAACCGATTGGAACGTGGTGTGTACTTTTGTGTGCGGTGAAAGGGAGGGGAGAAGAAGGAGGAGGAGGGAAGGGGGAAGGGAGGAGATGCCCTCAAAGGAGACGGTGCGCATCGGCCGCCATATCACCACCGAATGGCGGGACAGCGCCAAGGAAGGCAGGAAGGCGGTGCCCGGTGGCAGCAGCCCAGAGAGAGAGAGAGAGAGAGAGAGATGCCCCGCAAGAATGCGGGCATTTAGCAGCACTTGCTGTTCTTGGGGGTGGGAGCGTCATCCGAGGTGTCGCCATGCAGGTCGACGGTGTTGCCGCTCTTCCCGGCGCCAGCGCGGTCGTCGGCACCCCCGGCAGCCGACGAGGGGTTGTTGTCGATCAGGCGAGTCTTGATGTCGCTGTGCGTGTGTGTATGCGTGTGCGCGTATATGGAGGGGGGAACACACGGGCGAAGGAGGGCAGGTTAGAAAAAAGGCAGGGAGGGGCGTCCCGGAGAGGAGAGAGGCGCAATGTGTCACGCCCCCGTGGGGGTGTTGTGGCGTGGACGGGTCCGTGCGTACCTGGCCAGGGTGCGGAAAGCCTCGGTGACGTTGATGTCCTCCTTGGCCGAAGTCTCGAAGTAGCGAATGCCGTACTCCTTGGCCAGAGCCTCGGCCTCCTCGGTGGAGACCTTCCGGCTGTCGGCCGGGATATCGCACTTGTTGCCGATCAGGATGCGGTTGACACTGCCGCAGGCGTGCTGCTCGATGGTGTGCATCCAGGTGTTGACATCTAAACAGGTGGGCAGGGGAGCGGCAAGGGAGGGAGGGCAGGGCGTCACGAAGTTAGGACCATGGCGGGGGAAGCATGTGCGATTGTGTCCGGCAGGGCATCGGAAGAAGGGGGCGAAAGACGTACTGCGGAAAGAAACAGGGTCGGAAAGATCGAACACCAGGAGGATACCCATGGCACCACGGTAGTAGGCTGCAAGAGCGGAGGGCGGGGGGAGGGGGGGAGAGGGAAGCAGGAGCACGAGGGTGAGCGAAAGGAGGAGCACGAAAACGCATGGCAAAGGACAGGGACCGATGCGGCGGGCAACTTACCGGTGGTAATGGTGCGGAAACGATCCTGACCGGCGGTATCCCAAATCTGGAGCTTGATGCGCTTGCCATCGAGCTCGATGGTGCGAATCTTGAAATCGATACTGCGGGAGGAGGGTCAGAAGGAGAGAGAGCCGTAGGTGCGTCTGAGAGGGGGAGAGGGGAGGAGGAGGGAAGGAGAGGGGAGAGAGAGGGGGAGGGAAAGAGGGGGGCAAAGGGGAAAGAGAAGGACAAAAGGGAAAGAGAAGGACAAAAGGGAAAGAGAAGGACAAAAGAGGGAAGGAGAAGAACAAAAGAGGGAAGGAGAAGAACAAAAGAGGGAAGGAGAAGGACAAAAGAGGGAGAGAGAAGGACAAAAGAGGGAGAGAGGGACAGGAGAAAGAGAGAGAAAGAAGGAAAGACGAAGTGCCAAAGGGAGGGAACCAAAAAGATGGTGCATCCCCCAAGGGGGGGAGGGCCGGAAAGCCCGGCACTCAAAAGGACGCACCCAATGGTGGCAATGAAGGTAGGGGTGAAAGAGTTGTCGGCGAAACGCAGGAGCAGGCACGACTTCCCGACACCTACAGCAGGAGAGACAAAGAGAGGGTGTCAATGGGAGGGGGGAGAGGAAAGAAAGTAGCACTCGGGGCACCGATGGGCCAGGACATGGTCGCCCGGCGAAGCCGGGGGACCGTGCGCCGCAAAGGGCTCCTCTGCGCCTCATGTGGAGCCCCCCCCCCCCCCCCCCCTCCGCATCCTTCGAGCTGTTCCCCAGGTGGGGAGAGGAGCCGGCCACATGGGGGAAGGAAGGGGAGGGGGGAGGGCAACAGGAGGGAAAACCAGCGTGCGCGAAGGACCATTTGGGCCCTTCCGGCCACCATGGACACACGTGCACATGCATGTGCATGAAGCAGCAGGAAGACGCACCACTGTCACCGATGAGGAGCAGCTTAATCAGGTAGTCGTAGGAGGTGTTGCGACTGGTGGACATTTTGGCGGGGAAGGGGGGGAGGGAGGGGAGGTGCTTGGGAGGATCCGGGCCGGGAGAGCACGAAGGGGGCGGCGGCGGCGGGGGGGGGAGGGCGCGGGAGGAGGCGGAGAAGGGCGACGGAGGAGGGGCGCGGGTGCGAGGAGGGGGAGGGGAGGGGAGGGAAATCACTGTTGTGTGCAGGCGAATGGAAATATCCGGACCAGCCACTGTGAAATACCTGGGCCGACACATCAGAACCAGCGGGCGAGGCCCGCCCGAGGGGAGTTCCATGGCCTGCCCGGCCCGGGGGCGTTGGCTTGCGCGGGCGCGCT